GGCACTGTGGACTTAAGATTAGTAGCCACACATTAACAAAGTGAATTTCTCCTCTTGGGTTGAGCTCTGCTTTTAGTTTTAAAGCTGGCATCCCCATTTCATGCTACTGGCAGCTTTTCCCCCAAATGTTATCCAATGTGATTTATTACACGAATACATTCAAACCTGGTTTTTCATAATAAAGCTTCCTCATGAGAATTACCACTAATTAATATACAAAATGACCCAGCACAATTTAATTATTTGCTAATGTTTTTCGGTGTTTTCTTAAAGATGCTTTACAAGCCAAGGCCTGAACTTGCTTGGGTCATGACCTCTCTGCAGTGTTTGCAGTCTTGTTAAACAAGAAGAAAAGCAAAACATAAATTAGCGTCTCCATTATAAGTTACTCTGCATTTCCCAATCTTTCAGCACTCTGAAGTGCACAGTCACTGTTAATGTAATAGGAAAATGGCATTGACTTCAAAAGTCCAGTTTTGGGGGATGAGTAAGAAGCTTCTTAGTGTCATTGTTCTAGGGCGAACATTATTCTCCATATAAGAGAGGAGGGAGTTTGACTTATGGCCTATGCGACATTAAAAAACTAAGCAAAAAGAGAAGCAACAGTTCCCTTTAATTGTAATGAGGATGTACCAGCCTGTGTGGCCTTTGGTGTCTATTAGCCTTCAGGGCTCTGCTCCAGAATTTAGTGTTGAAAAATACTTTGAGTGTGAAAGCACCCCTTTTCTGTTATATAGAAGTTTATGTTTCCTTTACATGCTTTTAATTACCTCAACACCCCATGGTGTTTTTTTGTTTGTTTCTTTTTTGTTTTGTTTTTTGCGTTTGGGCTTAGAATGTGTTTCTGCTCCTTCAGGTTTGGAATGGCCTTCCTCTTCATCTCTCTAGTCGACCTACTTTCCTTAACACTTAGTTCAGGCAGTATCTCCCCCAGAGAAAGCTTTCTCTGCCACATGTTTCTTCCCTTCACCGTGACATTCTGTGCATAGTACCTCACCTTTCCATACTGTAGTGTAATGGTCTCTTTTATATCTCTCTCTATATCCTATATCTCTATACAAGGTCTGTTCCATATGCATCTAGGAGCTTGGTAAATGTTGATATGTGTTTGATTTTTAGCTAGTTGCTTCTTTAATGATTACTTTTTAATCTGTATACTTTATGGGTATACTTCTATCTGGTAGTCTTTGCAGTCATCCGATATGTCAATGGCTAATTGTACCAGAGTCTCAGTTTTGTTTCTTTGATATACCTTTGATTATGTTGGTGCATTGTCCATTGCTGGCATGGTAGATGGCCAGAAACAATGAGTAAGATTTAAGGCCTTATGGACAGTAGTTGTGTAACGTTTACACAACCAAAGTGGAATTCTTCTGGCTTCTGATAATTTCTTAAAATCTTTTGCCACTAGCACATTTATTTTAATGCCCCACTTTTCTAAGATTCGTGAATAGGTTTAATGATTGTATAATATTAAAGGCTTATCTGTGGGATAAGTGTATATCATAAATCTAGTTACATCCATTTCAAATTCATTCCTCTTCCGTTTCCCAAGTAAACATATTTTAAATGTGTTTCTCTTCATGAAGGAATACAGTATAGGATTTTGAATTCTGGATCTGGTTTCCAGTTCTATCACCATCATTTATTAGTTTTTTGACCTTGAACAAATTACTTATCTCTGTGAGACTCAGTGGAGTCCCTGAGTGGTGCAAACAGTTAATGTGTTTGGTTGCTAGCCAAAAGGTTGGAGGTTTAAGTCCACCCGGAGGTGCCTTATAAGAAAGACCTGGTGATCTGCTTCCAAAAAATTAGCCACTGAAAACTCAATGGAGTGCAGTTCTACTCTGAAACTCATGGGGTCACTATGAGTTGCAGTCAACTCATCAGCATCCGGTTTACTGGTGAGACTCAGTATCTTTATTAGTAGAATGGAGATAATACTAGTACCTAACTCTCAGGTTTATAATGAAGATCAAATAAGAGATTGATCTGGAGAGGTGCCATACTGCAAATAGAACAAGTGCAAGTCTATATACTACAATAAAACCTGTGAAAGCTGGAAAATTATGTAAGGTAGAAACCTGTCAGAGGTGGAAAGCTTACAAGACCCAGAAAAACAAGGCAGTCCCCTTTGACTTCCTGCTGTCACAAGTTTCACTATAAATGGTGAGATACCCAGATCCCTCCCCCACTTGCATCCCAGTGTGCTGGCAGCTAGGCTTTGTAGCCCTCTAAAAGGAGATTGGAGAATTCTTCTCTGGGGAAAAATCTAAATATACTGAAGTTTGAGGAACCTCCAGTAATCAGCCGCGTCTCACCTGATCATCCTATAGTGATGCTGTCAGACACAGAGCTTCCAATCATTAGCTTAATTCTTAAATATGAATAGTCCATCCAAAGATAACCAGACACTTGAGGAACACCTCCAATAAACAAATAGGAAAGAGGAAACAGAGACAAAACAGGAAGCAGAAGAAAATGCCTTTTTTTTTAATCTATAATATTCCAAGAGATCTAAAATAAGATATTATACCCATGAAATATAATACAATGCAATAAAAAAGGAACATTTAGAGAACAAGAAAGAACTCTTAGAAATAAAAAATATTATAGAAAGAAATTTAATGTAAAGATTGGAGATAATGTTGATGCTAACCCAAAAAGTATTAGGAAGAGAAAGAGATAAAACACAGGAGCAAGAAAGAAAGAAAATTAGAAGATTAATCTAGAGGACCAGTATCCAACTAAGGGAGGGTCCAGAAAGAAAACAGAGAAAATGAGTGGAAGGAAATCTCAAAGAAATAGTCCAAGATATTTCCTAGAATTCAGTGATTGGAGTTTACAGATTAGAAAGGACCGAACTAGTACCCAGCAAAATGAATGAAGAAAGACCCATCTCAGGGTACATCATTTTGAAATTACAGAACATAGGAGGGAAGAAATCCTAAAAGCTTCCAAAGATTAAAAACAAACAGACAAACAGATAAGAAACAAAAGGTCAGAAATCAGAATGGCATTGTACTAACCAGCAACACTGGAAATTAAAAGACAGTAGAGCAATGCCTTCAAAACGCTGAGGGAAAAATTATTTCTAACCTTGTTCTCTATACCTAGCCAAACTATCAAGTATAAGATAGAGGGTACAATATTAAGGGTAGAATAAAGGCATTTCCAGACATTCAAGGTCTTTAAATTTTCACCTCCCACACAACCTTTCTCAGGAAGCTTTTGGAGGATATGCGCCATGGAAAAGAGAGAAAAGGGGTCAAATAGAAGCAAGAGGGAAGTTATAGAATTAAAGTTATACAGCAGACCTAGAGAGCAATCAGTTCAGACTGAATACTGAGGATGAGGGCTTCAGGAAGGGAATGTCTTCATGGAAAAAAAAAAAAAAAAACACAAAAATTTAAAAATTACCTAATGTGCTTGAATGTATTAAAAGGAGATTCGTGGTTGTGTTCTTTGGGAGATGAACTTGGGATAGGTACTTAGTAAACTAAGCAAAGGAAAAGGGGAAGGGGCAATTACTAACTCCAGTAAAATCAAAATGTGGCCCAAGAAAGGAAATGTAATAGTACACTGCATTGTTGTTTGTTGTTAGGTGTCATCCAGTTGGTTCTGACTCATAGCGACCCCATGTACAACAGAATAAAACACTGCCAGTCCTGCGCCATCCTCACAATCATTGCAATGTTTGAGCCTGCTGTTGCAGCCACTGTGTCAATCCATCTCGTTGAGGGTCTTCCTCTTTTTCATTGACCCTCTACTTTACCAAGCATGATGTCCTTGCTTCCAAGGACCATTCTGGCTGTACTTCTTCCAAGAGAGATTTGTTCACTCTTCTGGCAGTCTGTGGTATATTCAGTATTCTTTGCCAACACCATAATTCAAAGGCATCAATTCTTCATTGGTCTTCCTTATTCATTGTTCAGTTTTCGCAGGCATATGAAGTGATTGAAAACACCATGGCTTGGGTCAGGTTCACCTGAGTCCTTAAAGTGACATCTTTGCTTTTTAACACTTGAAAGGGGTCTTTTGCAGCAGATTTGCCCAATGCAATGCGTCGTTTGATTCCTTAACTGCTGCTTCCATAGTGTTGATTGTGATCCAAGTTTAAAAAAAAAACAAAAAAATTAGCCAGTGAAAACCTTATGAATAGCAGCAGACACTGCATTGCCTAGCATATCATAATAAATACTGACTGTAGATTTAACCAAAAATTGTTATTGGAAGAATGAGGAAAGGAGCATAAGCAAGATTAATAATAAGTTCCCATCTTCCATAACAAGAAGTCAATAAATATTTAAAACTTAGAACAAAATTTAAATAATAACTTTGTTATTTAAAGATTTGGAAATAAATATAAGTCAAGAGAGTTGAAAATAGAAAGAGAGAATAAGGAATGATGACATAACCGTGATAAAGTTTTTCAACATTTTTTGTGTATTTTGGAGTTAAAAATAAAAATGAAATTTAAAAATATTAAATGAGACAATATGTCTTTCACCAACACACTGTGTTTTTCACAGTTAAGTGCTGCATAAATGTAGACTATTATTATTACCTACTTCTTCTAAAAAGCATAATGAAACCTTGCTAAGTGGGTGATACAAAGACTTTCCATTAATTCATTACATTTTTTTCCATTCCCACCATACATATACCATATTAGCTGTGAGAAATGAATTAGAAACATATACTTCACCATCTTTCTATTTGGCTTTTGTATCTCCCTGATGTACTAATCCATTGTTTTATTGACAGGAATGAGAAGAAAGAACTGGTCAAATGTTGCCACTTTGATCATGTTGTTGGTACTTTATTTTAGATTTTCATGAGGAAAATTTTCAATTTTTTTTCTTTTCTTTTGCTTAGTCATTGGCATATCTGCAATTAAATAGATGGAGTTTGTACATTTATTCAGGCTTATTCTAGTTTCCTAAGTAGCAATTCTAGTTTCTGGGCATTTTTTAACCCATATTTTCTCCAACGGTCAGGGCCGCAAGCTTCTTATCATTGGGACCACTAGCCGCAAAGATGTCCTTCAGGAGATGGAAATGCTTAACGCTTTCAGCACCACCATCCACGTGCCCAACATTGCCACAGGAGAGCAGCTGTTGGAATCTCTGGAGGTGAATGAACTGTACACTGTTTCTGTGAAAGGAGTTGATAAGGCTGGAAATAAGGCTAAGGGTTGCCACAAACTTTGCACCTGGTGTTTGGTTTCTAGATTAACCTAGAACATGGAACCTGGGATGTTACCTCCAATCACCTTCGGGAGTGAGAGGGAAAAGAGATGAACTAAGTGACAGTGAATTAATGCCCCATTCCTGGGTGTAGATAGCATAAACTGCCAGGAATTAATTGCTCTGATACCCAGCATAAGTAACGCATATAGATTACGTAGACTAGAAACTTAGATTGTGGGAGGGATATAAGTTACTCACTATATGGAGAAAACAGCTATTTATAGTGGCGTTTAGCACATTTCCTTGCATTTAGTGAATTTGAACCATGATTAAAACCTTAGAAACTTCAGAAAATCTATAGAAGTAAAAGAACTCCTTTGTAAACAATTTTGTAATATAGAAATGTTTTCTTAAAATTTTTGAGGATGTCAAAATTTTAATTTTTCTAAAGCTATCTCCTACACTAAACTTTTGATTGATATCAGTGTACTCAAATGACTTGGTGAGACCCACTGGAAATATCAAGTGAGTTGTTTAGCAGAAGTAGGGTCAGTAAGGATTCTTAAAATCCTTAAGACCCATAGGATTAGTGTCTACTCCCAGCAAAATAGAAATTATCTATATGATAGATATCTCCAGTTTATCTGTTGGAGCAGCTTTTGTGCAGGGGATGGGTAAGGGAATTAAATTTAGTTTGCTTTGACACATACAGATTGTTCCTAGAAAGGAATGTAAAAAATTTTACCTGATATTTATTATGGATTGGAGCTGTTTTTTTTTTGCTAGCAAATGCACCTTTAAGTTATAATGGAGGTCCATAGGAAAACAGAGTTTAGGATACCAGTTTTCACATTCATGGTGGGGTGAAGGAAGGTCAGGTTCATTTTAAAATATAAGAGAACCTTATAAGCTTAAACCGGTCAAGTAGTTCTCATCTCTGTTCTTTTATGATTGAGAGAATTAACTACTGTTGTTGATGCTCTTACTGTAAAAGTGCTTTCATTATTATTTATTGTTTTTGTAGCTTTTGGGTAACTTCAAGGACAAGGAACGCACCATAATTGCACAGCAAGTTAAAGGGAAAAAGGTCTGGATAGGAATCAAGAAGTTACTGATGTTGATCGAGATGTCCCTACAGGTAAGATGCTTCCTTCTTCATGTGATTCAGACATGGAAAGGAGCTTCATGATACACCAAGAGGCTTTATTATTTCCTTTTGCTAAGGCTTTGATTAATTTAAATATAATTCCCTTATATTATTCCCAAACTCAGATTGGTATTAGTAGCCTGCTTCTGAGATCAAACAATAACACTGGTACTTTTCTTTCCCATTCCTTAAAATTCAAAGATAGAAGAAAAGATTATAAAGTTGCTTTTCTTTTTAATTTAGGGGGTCACTAGATCTTAAACTTAGAAAGGACTTCAAAGAACAATTGTTCTGCTGTCCCTTCGTTTTAGAGATGAATGCACCAAGTGTCCCACAGATGGTCATTGTCCAAGGTCACATAGCAATTAGCAATGGAGCAGGGACGTTATTGTACCTCAGAGGTCAGTAAACTACTACGTATATACCAAAAGGGGCCTGGGGCAGGTTAAGCAAGGTGTACAGACTAGACTTCAGCTCTGTATATTTTCCCCTGACTAGGCTTCTAGAAATATCATGCAACTACTGTAGAATTGAAGCATTCAGGATCACATAGACAACTGAGCCCCAGGCTGCTGCCTGGGCAAAGACAGATGAAACTTCTCTGGTACTATCTCACATCTACTGGCAACTTACATTTCCTCTTCTTGGAACTCCACTCCTCATGTGCCCATCCTGTGTCTTCTTGTCTTTATCTGACATGCTACTTAGATAATAAATATATCTCTACCAGGTTCTTTGAGGTCAGGGACCTTGGCATTCACTCACTATTGAATCCACGGCCCCTGGAACAGAGCTGGACACATAGTACAGTGCTCAGTAAACTTCTGTTGAATGAATGAGTGAACCCATCCCAGGTCCAGGGTGGAGAACTGACTGCATTCGGAACATGAGTATTGCTGATCTGTCCTGCTCTTCAGTCAGTGTGAGCACCAGGTGGCCAAGGGGAAGTCAAGTTTCACAGTTACACCTGAAATCGGGAACATGAAGTGAATGCTTTTTAATCTTCTCTGGTAAATGTATCTTATAATAAAATTTTGGGGGCTTTCAGAAACCTAAAGTTCACTTAGGTTCACATTCATGGTTGTACCTGTTGAGTGTAGGAGGGTCAGGATGGATTTTAAAATACGAGAGAAGGCTGTAAACTTAAACCAGTCAGGTAGTTCACATCTCTGTGCTTTTAAGGGTAAGTATGAAAATTAACATTGTTGATGCTCTTACTGTAAAAGTGCCTTCATTATTATTTATTGTTTTTGTAGCTTTTGGACTGTTTTTAAACTAATTTATTTATTTAATGGAGCCCTGGTGGTGCAGTTGTTAAGAGCTCGGCTGCTAACCAAAAGGTCGGCAGTTCAAATCCACCAGCTGCTCCTTGGAAACTATGGGGCAGTTCTGCTCTGTCCTGTAGGGTCGCTGTGAGCTGTAAATTAAAGTTACAGACTAATGACTTTGCTTAGGATTATTCCTGGTAAAGGTACACATACAGATGGATTGGCTCTTCCCTTGAGAGAAGATAAATCTGTCAAATAGTCAGCTCTACTCTTCATTTTTTTAGTTTCAGCAATATTTTTTTTTTCAATAATTGCATAAAGAAACTATGCGGGGGTTTTTTTCTCCCCATCCGCCATCTCTTCCTCATCCTTTGATGCCTGCAGGTCAGTGATCAAGCTAATGCCTCTTATGTATGTGGGGTAGAAAGTGAGAGTGTGGCACTTGGGCCTAATCTGCAACGACTGACATTTCATAGGCCTGTGAGTTTGAACCCCTTCATGTCAGATGGATTTCGTGCAGCTGCGTGAATTCTCTTTAGATCTGCCTCAGAGAGACTGAGCCTGAGTGAAGAGGCATGTAGTTTAGCAGAATATAAGTCATGTTACCTCTCTGTTCACTATACACGATTCTGTTAAAACTTGCACAGTGCTGTGGATCTGCTCTGACTGGATGTCACCTGAGGGAATAAAGTCATTTATCTAGATTACTTTTTTCCTCCCTTTCTCTTGACTTTTAATTCCATAGCTACAGGCAAGTCAGTAAGTCGTTGCTCACACATATTAAATATATTTAATGGGCAGAGACCTGCAAGTACTGACTACAACTGCGCTGCAGCCAGCTCCATTTTTTTTAAAGAACTTGACAATTGATTCATATGTAATTCTATTCCCAAAGTGGAAAAATGTTTCTTTTGTTAGCTATTCACACTTTTTCTTAGTTCTTTGTAGTCTGACCTCTTAACTTTGATACATTTGAAACTTCTGTTCAATGTTCTTCTGAGATAGAAGAGAAGAATCATCTTAAAAAAAAAAAAAAAGGTTGGAGGGGATAATCTGATGCCTGTTCCCCACAGCTGCATGAGCATCTGAGCACCGTTCCTGGAGGGCAGGGAGTTCCCTCTTGGGAAACAGACTCCTGCCCTGGAACATTTTTGAAAAGTTAGGTGTGTTTCTTACAATAAAAATTCATCTCAAGGAATTAAAAGATGTTTTTAATGATCGTTTTCTAGATAACTTCACATTTCTGGTGGACCAATGAGAATAAAATGGATTTGGACAAATTAGTGTAACTTTGAATAGAAAATGAAAACCGATAGATAATTAATAATAACAACCTGAACCTAGCCCCTGAGTCAGCACCCGCCTCCCCCCCCAATCTTTTCTTAGACTCATGGCACTGCTGTTGGGGACTGGAGGGGACCCAGGTTACCCACAGATCAGGTCAGGGTTGTCAGCCCCGCTCTTTGGGGTTTTTGTTTTGGCACAATTTTTTTCATTACTTGCAAAGAAGAAACTATGCAAGAGAGACTGAAGCTCAGACAAGCAAAATTGTTGACCATAATAAGTTATCTTCTAGCCATTTGACCAACCTCAAATTTGGTTTCTTCAAGTTTAGTCTCACTTTTACACCTTAGATGAGTCCTGTGTCTTTGAACTCCCACAAAGGCCCCCGGGCTGGGCTCACTGATGCCTCATAGGCGTGCTGTGCCTCCTCACCCCAGAGCTAGCTAGCGGAGTATGCGGCTGAAATGCCTGGGAATGGCCAGCTGGGTCATGTACACCCAGCGCAGAGTGATTCTATGCTAGGAAATCCTATTTACTTCTCTTGAGTGATGCAGTCTACTTTGGTGTGTATTAGAATACTGGTCCAGGAGCAGGTAACACATTTCTGTGAGTCAGCAAAGTACCAATAGAAGTATAAAGTATGAAACTGAGCACTTCCTTGGCATGAAGTAAGCTTCCCTGTGCATAGTTATTTGGAGGCACCATTAACCTGTCTTCTTTACTTCTTCTGATGTATTTACCATTAACCTGTCTTCTTTACTTCTTCTGATGTATTTAGATGGATCCTGAATACCGTGTGAGAAAATTCTTGGCCCTCTTAAGAGAAGAAGGAGCGTAAGTAGAAATCCCAATGCTTACCTTTTCTAAGTGTTGTTATACACACACGTATTTGAATGAGCAGCCCTTCTTAGACAACTTTGTTTCCATTTATTAGAATTCTTCACTGTGTTGTAGCTCTGAGAGACCAAGCAAGGAAGTTGGTTGTACTGTTGAGGTTTGCTCTCCCTGTCCTGCTTCGCAAAACTTCCATTGTCACAAGGCAGGAAAAAACTCGATGGTACATATTCATTGGAACCTGCTTTTTACCTGCATGGAGTTGTGACATTTTCTTTCGTGAAATGCTCGTTGGATAGCAAATGGATAGTAAAAATGTAGAAAAACTGTTAAGGAGCTTTTAGTGATTTTGTGAGGAATGGCTTTTTGCAGACCCACATCTGTTTTTTTTGTGTGTTTTGGGTGTTCCCTTTGCAGTAGCCCTCTTGACTTTTGCAACACACCGTGACCAAGAGAAGTGACCAAGGTGAAGATGGGCTGAGATCTTCACTCGTCTTAATCAAGATACCGGACTAAGTGAAATGTTCTCTACCTGCAACAGCGTCCACGCTTTCTCTGCATGTTTAGTGCAATAAAATTCCCTTCCTTATGCTTATTGAGGTATTCTAGTGTTTTGTGGAAGGTGCAGATTTGCTTTAGAATGCTGTGCTTACCTCTGTGTGCAGACTGATTCCTTCTTACTCAGGGTTTAAGTGGGAGAGGCATACTGTACTTGTGAACACTACACATTTTAAGCTCCCCACCGCCACCACCACCACCTGGAAATTCTCTATAAATATAATGAATGTTGCAAGACAACACATGGCCTATTCGAATGAAGGCTTTTTACCTGCAAACCAGGAACAGTGAATAGAGCTGTGGGTTAAATGGATTATCTGGCAGCTTCCCTGTGCTGACATTAAAGGTTATTGGGTATTTGGTTAAAGGTTCTCCCAGAAAACTGGTTATCTTTGCCTGAAGAAACAGGGTTTGGGATTTCTAAGATACTGTTCTTAACCATTTTCAGAGATGTTTCCAAGTTGCCATCGGAGATCTTTCTTCACAGAAAGTCAGATTACCGTGTTGGCTGTGACATCCCCTTAATGTAACAGTGTGCGCTGTGGGAAGAGATATGCTAATCATTACCACTTGGGAGATGCTGTTAAAAATTTATGGAAGATAATGTATGGAAAAAATATACATCCCTAAACAGGAAGGCGTTATTAAAATAATTTACAAACCTCTTGGCATTAATTAGTATCCAACTTCTAAATGGGTCATTTCCTTAGTAGGATATTAAGGACTTAGTAGTATCACCACTTTTTTTTCTTAGTTTAATGACTTAGTTGGAACTTATCCTCTCTTTAAGTTATCTTTACCATGCAGTATCTAAATAGAACACTATTCTCCAGAAAAACAAGCCCCTTTCCAGCCTTCTCCCCTCAGCCCTTTAACATCCATTCCGAACATTTAACACATTTCCTTTACCCTCTACGTGCCTCTGCCAAAGGAAAGGAGTGCTCATCGGGTCCTTTTGAGGGTGATTTGTCTTAGAACTCAGTTAGAAGGAATTTATTTAGGTTATCATATTTGGTGATGAGACTTACAGAGCATGCCACTCTCTCCCCATTGCTGCTTAAAATGCAAGGACAGACAAGCGGGAACCACCTGAAGGTGCTTAACATCAGTAAGGCTTGTTGCCACAGTGGCACTTGATGTGGCTCTGTCATTTGTCCCCGTGGCAGAAGGCAGATCATTTCCAAATCTTGCTGTCTGTATGCTTTTGGTAGAGACTTATATGTCATACCTACTTTGTTTTGGGTTTTCACTCCTAGCTTATTTTGTGGCTTTTTAAAAAGTGGACTGTGTTGCGAAGTCCTGTGACTCTTGGTGGCCAGCATCCCAGATTCCCTAATCTGTTCTCACCTCTTTCCTCTTCCCACAAAAGTAGCACACGTTGTATTAACTTATGTCTCTTGTTAAATAAGGGTGATGTTTTTGTGTTTTGTCCAAAACAATATTGAAAAATATAAATATTATATTGTTTAATGCAAATGAAGGAATGCAATAAACAGTGCATATACTTGGAAATGTTCTGGAGACCATTATTTTGTACAAACAACAGGTTATAACTGGTACGAATGTGGGAGGAAGCAGGAGATCAGAAGGGAGGCCCTTGTTTTGTTCTAAGTAGCATAAGGAGTTGGATGATTTTTACTTAAAACATCCGATTTTAGTTATTTAAAACGAAAAGCATATCAGTAGCATATGTAAAAAAGTTAACGCATGAGGATTTTTATACTTACACTTGTAACTTATTTTACTTATTAAAAAACTGAGGTAGCAAAGCCATAAACGAGGTCAGTAGTAAACCAGAAAGGGAAACGGTTTCTCAATTAGAATCTCTCCTTTGTGTGAAATGTACGGACTGAGGAACACCAACACACTCGGTGAGATTTCTTCCCAAGGTTAGTTTGGATATCAAAGATTTTGCATTTTTCTGAACTATCAGATCTTTCAGCTAAACCCTGATCCTTCGAGTTGGCTCAGGCCTTCTCTGATAGCAGGATTGGGCCCCCAGGAGCTTTCGCTGCCCTCCAAGTAGGAGGACCTGAAGGCTCCCTCGTCCCTGTGTAGCCTTGAGAAGCTGAGTTCTGGAGGCAGCCCAAGACCTTTCGAAGCTGATGCTGGGCAGCAGAGCATGCGAGGCTACAGCATGGACTGGGATGAAGCAAAGGAGACTCTAGCCACGCTGCTTCCCTAGCCGTTGCCGTAGAGTTCTTTGTCTATGGATGAACGATTAACAGGCTACTTTTTGTCAGAAGATGTATCTAAAACCTCAGAAGAGGAGGTTATTTTATCTTTACTAAATCTGTACTTCTTCACTGAGACACTGGCTTTTTTAATGTAACACAGAAAAATTATACAGTTGTGGTTAAAATCTGAACTTTAAGGCTTTTTTCATGTCTAGAAACTACAGTGAACAGCAACAAGTTTCAGCAACAAGTCACAAAATCATGGCATAGACTCCAGTGCCTATAATAATGATCAACCCATGGTAAACAGACTGGTGGAAGCACTGAGTCAGCGACAAACAGCCACCTCAACCGGAACACAGAAGGTCAAAGCAGTACTTCATTCTCCTTGCCTTGCAACTTGGTCCATAAGCCTCTTCAAAGAAGTGACGGGGAAAGGTGTGTGTGAGAGTTCAAAAAAGCATGTAAATTTCAGGAGTTATTGCAAAATGACCAAGTTTCTCATCAGCTGACAAGCAGTGCTGAGCTTGGATCCTGGAGATGAGCCGGTTGAGGGTGTGTACATATAGACACCATGACATTAAAGTGCAGGAGAGATCGTGTGCGATCGACAAGAGTCCCAAGTCGGTGAAGACAGAATTTGCGAGGAGGATTATGTTGGAAGTACACAGTCTCCACACAACTAACCTTGTGTCACAATTTTGGGAGTGTAAGATAATGGTAAGATCATTTTTTGCCTCCCAGAATGTTCTCTGTTACTCCGGAAGAAACAAGACAGCGTAACAGCCATAGTTTTGCCAAATTCTTTTGTGCGTCTCGATCAGCCATGTACCTTAGTACATGCCCACATACCTAGGGCTGGCAGGGGAAATATCCTCAGATACACCTAGAACAACTGTGCCAGCGTGTCTTCACTTGCTTTTCTCTGCTTTTTCCTTACCTGCTTTCCTTCTGCCTTTCCTTGTAGCTCATCCCCTCATCCTTGAACTCTCCCACATACTTTTCTTCTCTCTTCCTTCTTCACAAAATGGTATTGCACTGAACCATTACATTTTGGTTTTTTTTTTTTTTTAATCTTTTTTTAACTTCCTCTTGTTTTCAGGTATTTATGAGTATTTATGCTTCTGGAGAAACTAAATGTTCAGGCACTCTATAAAATGTACTCTCTTTAATCATAGAATATGATTAATCATAGAAATGATTATAAATGGCCTTGGTAACTATGAATAAGGACTATTTAAATATTTAGCAATCTCATAGGTGAGAAAAGAAAAAACAAACAAACAAAAAAATCAAACCCACTGCCATTGAGTTGATTCTGACTCACAGGGACCCAGTAGGATAGAGTAGAACTGCCCGGGAGGGTTTCCAAGGCTATAAATCTTTACAGAAGCAGACTGCCACATCTTTCTCCCGTGGAGCAGCTAGTGGGTTCAAACTGCCAACCTTTCAGTTAGCAGCTGAGCGCTTAAAACACTGTGCCACCAGGGCTCCTCAAAAAAGAAAGAAGGACCCAGAATGCTGGGATAGATGAGTATTAGTTTTATGTAACAGTAAAAATGAATGACCAGTATTGTATGGTGTGGAATAGGTGTGTCTAATTTTACATGTCCAGTTCCTTGCACAAATGAATGTAATAGTTTTTGTGGTGTAAGCTTCCCAGGAGTTAAACAGAGACATGTCATGAGCAAAATAAAATCCATGAATTCTAGTGGCCATTCTTAATCTAAGGTTAGAGGTCCAAATGGAGCACAAGACAGCCCATCTACTCTGCACAAGACAGACTGCTTTATTGTTCTGTTCTCAATTTGTCCCTAAGAGAGGGAGATCAGGGGAAACAAAAGGAAAACATTTTAGCTCTTAGACAATGTACAAAGCAAACTGCAGGTGCCATTTTATGGGTAGATCTAAAGACTAAAGGCTTGACTGTTGTCATAAAACTGAATTACAGCATCTCATTGCTGAGAAGGCATAACTTGTAAGCTTCGGGCAAATCCTTTTGAAACCACAGTCCAAGGAGAGAATGCCCTTACCTAGAGCATACCCACAGATCGTCCTTGCAGCCCAAACCAATCCAAAATGTAAAATGACACCTGTTCCAGAGAATGCAGAGCCCAGGGCACACCATTTCTTCTTCCCTGACCAACCTACCCCTTCCACAGATTAGCTCTCGCAGTTAGCTAGCAGGGGAGAGACCATTTCCAGTCAAGTTTCACTTTCAGTAGAGCAAATCCTATTTCCCCAGTAAATGGAGTTGAAAACATTGCAGTGAGGAAGGGATTAAGCCAGTGCCAACTCCGGGGTCTGCTGGCCACATCTTTTAGGAATGTCTGACATGGATTTGTGCATCGGAAGTGCTGGAGTCTGTGAAATGAATTGCTGCCCAAATTGGTTATTTCTAAAACTAGAAATTCTTCTTTAGAAGCTGACTTAGAACAAAGTAAACTTGTAAGAATGTCCTATAGTGGCTCAGACCTACCGTCCATGACATCTCAAATGTTCTTGTTTAGAGAAAAGAAGCTAATGACCTTAGTTTGGTCCACGAATTAGAGTAAGAGTTGAGGCCGCCACATTCTTGACCTCCTGAACGTGAATCTGGAAACTTCACACACTGTACAATGTGTCCATTTGAAATTTGTTTACCTTCTCTTTAATGACTTAACAGAAAAAAACTGCATGATGAAATATATTTTCTCCAAATATATATATATATTTATATAATATATAATCTTAGTTAACTCAAAGGTATATACATTGTATAATAAATAATATTTATAAAAAGAGACTTTTTGAATATAAAATCAAAAAGATCAACAACTTCTACAACTTTTTACAAAACTTTGGATACAGCAGGTTGGTAGGAAATTTCTGTTGGATACTAATACCTGACTACTGCGAGAATAATTACAACGCACTCAATGTACTATTATTAAATAATTACTTGTCAGCTACTTGAATACTCCCCAGAAACATGACTTTATCACTTTTAATATAGAATACATAGATATAAAAAAGACTTTTGAAAATTTGTTTCCATTCTGCTGAAATATTCTCACATAAAGCAAGCATAATCCGGTTGACTGATTTAAAACTTTGCAGTCTAAGGTGAGATGGGGAGGGGCATTTCAGACTCTCCATAGAGGGAGTGGGACGTGTATCATTAGCAGGGCTTGTTGCCAGCAGATTCAAGGCTGAAGGCATGGCTTCGAGATGATCGTCTTGGCAAGCCTGCCTGAGCAAGCAAGAAGACCACTGGCCAGGTACCTGAGGCCAGTGTTAGGTAGACCAAAGAGAAAAGGGAGAAAAGAAAGAAAAAACTCTGTTCTACTCTCTACCCTGCTGCGTCTCTTCTTTCTGATTCTTAAGACAGTTGGATTTATTCATTTCATCAAATCCTTTTTCCTCCATTTTGCTAGCTTCCTCTAGGACACTCTAGGCCTGTAGACTGTGTGAGTCAAGGAGAGCTCAGCTGTGAGATGCTTTACCCAAGGAAGTAAGTGACCACTTGCCTGCCTTTGAACACCCAGTCCTCAGCCTTGGTAACACATGGATTGCAGCTGTCTCAGAATACAGGTGAGGGGTGGAAGACTGTTAAGGAACTCTGCATTTCTGTTTACTCTTAGGCCAAAGAAAGAAAAGAATGTGGGAAGACATGTCCTTATTGGAAAGGAAATGAAGGAATCGTTTTTATCCTCCCCATCCACTAGTCACAAAGTTGGAATTTCAGGAATAGATCACTCTCTCACTGACCCTTGAATGGCCTAATTTTATAGCAATTGTACTAAAATGACCTAGAGTCCAACTGCCCTACCTGGAGCTGTTCTGATGAAGAATCCATAGGTGAGCAGGGCCAGGAAGGACTGAATGGCCCCTTCCAAAGAGACTGCTGCTGGCTTTCGGAGGCCATTTGAGCTGGAGGAGGCTTGCCCCCATACAGAACCTAGTCACAAAGTCCACTACAAAAAAGTACACTGCATTAATGGTGAGAACTGCAGAATGGCAGCGAAAGACTGAGATCTGGCTGCAGTTCACAGGAGCCTCGTGCAGAATAGGTCATAGAGAAAATGAGACTGAGAAGAACATGCTGCTCTTCAAATAGCTCCCCGGGTCACTTAGAACTCCAAGCTCTCAAAATTCAAACTCCTAACAATTGCCTTGGGCCTCCCTACCACTTTATCCTAGCTAAACCTATGGCTTTTATCAGAATGTGAAAGTATATCAGATTTGAATGGGAACAGACAGAGAAAAGGAGACTGCAGGGGTTTGTCCTACTTCATAACTCCCACCTCACAGACATCTTGGAATGCCACCATTTGAAGCAGTTTGGAAGGAGAGTCTTGCCCATACTGATGTCTTTACCGCCAGGCAGAGAGCTCACATTAGCCCAGCCTGTTCTGTTGGAGTAGTTTGGTTTTTTGTTTTGCTTTTTTTTTATTTTTATTTTCTTTAACATGTGCAAAGATAAGCCTTGGGTCTGTTCCTATCAGACCCTGGAGAACCAAAAAGAAAGCCCCTTCTTTAAAAAAACCACACACCATCCAGAGTAGGGTGAGAAACTTCAGATGAGAAAGAGGGAGAAGCCTCCCAGCCAATGGGCGGGTTGGGTCCAGGTCATTTACCACACGTGCATCTGGCAACAGTCCATACTCCTTGCTGTCTGATGCTGAGGGCTGAGCCCTGGCTCTAGCTCCTGCTTCCCATGGGACTTTGGTGAATCCGCCCAGTCACACACTTCACCTGTTCCCAGCACCCTTTGGGGGAAAAGAAAAAAAAAAAAAAAAAAAAACAGGAAGAATTGGAAACATAATTCCTTTCCCAGAGAAACCACCCATTGGAGTGCAAAGATCAGAGGCTGCTGGTAGGAGCTCTCAATACGTCTCTTGTACTTAGAAGTGATGGCGACCTCCAGGGGCTTTTTCATGCTCCCCCCTGTACCCTGGGGTCTGTCATTGAGGGAGACTGTGTGATTTATAGGAACAGCAGCAGGGCTTTAGAATCCACAGACTAGGATCCTTATCCTAACTCCCCCACTTTCTAGGTGGGGTTCTTGGGCAACAGGAAGCCAAGTAGCAAGTTGTTCCCCAAATGTAGGAATTTTCTGTATAGAGACTGGGAGAAACCTTTCCAGTCTGAGGGCCCACTTCCCAAATTAAGAGTAGGCCCCTGTTCTATGTTTTTGTATTGCACCAAATAGTTTGCTAATGAGCTGTCCAAACAGGAGAAAGTCTATATAATTAACTATGAATAAGTCCTTCCCATGGGAGCTCCAATGTGTACTTGTTATACACGTGTATATTTATATCTCACAAAGGATTTGAGGTCAAGGCTTTTTCATAGACTTTCCCAATCAACCCTCAGCTCCTCTGCGGGCAGACAGTACCAATATTACAATATTACAGCCTATTTTACAGAGGCAGAAAATGAGGCTCAGCGGGGTCAAAGGCCCCACAGCTAGTAGTGGCAGAACTAAGACTTGGGGTGAGCCAGGCCACTTGACTCTTGTCCAGGTCCTTTCCCAGCTCACTGGGCTCATGAGTTAGTCATAAGGTAGGAAATCAATGGTTAGCCTGAGACACTGGACAAAAGCTACAAGTGGATGGAAAAGCTGTTTCCTTCATACAGGAAGGACTCAAGGCAGGACTATGCCCTTCCTATGGCATAAAGCCAATGTTACGGGGGCTCCTGATCCTTCCTCTCTCCCAGGTGGGTGGAGGGCAGGCCAGTGCTTCCTGCTCTGTGGCTCCCTTCTCTCTCCTACCTGCACTATCAAGACAGAAAATGTAGCCAAGAGAGCGGCCATCTAAGATACTCCACTGGTCTCACCCCTTCAGGAGCAATGGAGAATGAAGAAAACTAAAGATACAAGGGAAAGATTAGTCCAAAGAACTAATGGACCACAACTACCATGGCCTCCACCAGACTGAGTCCAGTACAACTAGATGGTGCCCGGCTACCACCACTGACTGTTCTGACAGGGATCACAACAGAGGGTCCCAGACAGAGCCGCAGAAAAATGTAGAACAACATTCTAACTCACAAAAAAGACCAGACTTACTGGCCTGACAGATACTGATGAAACCCTGAGAGTATGCCCTCCGGACACTCTTTCAGCTCAGTAATGAAGTCACTCCTGAGGTTCACCCTTCATCCAAAGATTAGATAGGCCCATAAAACAAAACGAGACTAAAGGGGACTCCAGCCCAGACACAAGGACTAGAAGGCAAGAGGGGACAAGAAAGCTGGTAATAGGGAACCCAAGGTCGAGAAGGGAGAGTGTTGACATGTCGTGGGGTTGTTAACCAATGTCATAAAATCAATATGTGTACTAACTGTTTAATGAGAAGCTAGTTTGTTCTGTAAACCTTCATCTAAAGAACAATTAAAAAAAAGGAAGACAATGTAGCCAAGAGAAAAGCTGGAGGCCCTGACCCATGCAGTCCCCACCAGCTTGCCTCTTAGTTCCCCTCTTGGGCATGGAGGAAAAGATGGGAAGAAGTAATTGGGCCTCAGCCAGCCTTTGGCCTATGGCTCTAAACAACAGAAGTCTGTGGAGAGTGGTTCTTGGCAGTGAGCCCGGCTGGGAATCTGCCGCCTCTCCTCGAGCACTCTGTGCTCCAGCACGGTCTCTAGTCCACTGGACAACCCTGGAGGGGACAGGGTTCTTAGACTGTTCACACCTGAGGAAACAGGCTCAGAGAGACAAAACAGCTTGCCTGAAATCAGTCACAAGTTGAGTATTTATCAAAAGGGCACTATGTTGGGCAAGTATTCTCCACTGTTCACAGAATGAGGGCTCCAAGTTTTCCATATATGAGGGGTGTCGGGCCCAGGATCTACTTGGGCATGGTATCTGGAAGCCATGTCTAGGTAGCAATTTATACAAGATTAGGAAGAATATCACTTCTCTATTTCAGAAATGGGGAAGAAAAGAGGGTTCATGAAGTACATTTTCTTCTTAGAGTCGGTATTAGTCAGGGGCTAGAAGCAGGGAGGTGGGGGTTCTGGAGACTCCAAGAGCCAGCAGCTCCTTTCCCTCATGGAGGATGGCTTTTCTCGGCTACCCACCCCGGGAGGGGGCATGGATTAGGAACAAAGCTGCAGGGGGCCATATCCATGACACCTGTCCCCTAGAGCCACTGACAAGGCCTGGACTGCTGAGCCACACCCCACATATAGGCTTTCTGGCTGCTAACTCAGTGTCCCCATCCGTGAAATGGGCAGGCAAGACAAATGGTCCTCTAGGCCCTATCCAGCTTTCTAAAACTGACTTCCCTCAGCCTCCTCTTCTAATGGCCAGAGCCACGCCCCACTGGATAGTGGGGGACACTGTGTTGTCTCTGGTCATAGCAGGCATCAGAAGAAGGTGACCACTGCAGTTTTCAAACATTCCTCCACCTTGACAAGCCACAATTACCCTGTAAGTGTGCTCTTCCTCCCTCGTTTTTCTTCTGTCATTTTGAAAAGCAGTAAATAGACTGCCCAAGTGATGACACTACTGTGCACGATGACCACCCCCATGTCATGATTCTCTGATGGATTTATCCCACTTTTTATTAGTACTATATTCAGGTAAGCATTCACATCCATTAGCTCATTTAAGACTCACAACAACTCTGCGAAGCCACCATTATCACCACCAGTGTGCAGATGAGCAGACTAGGGTTCAGGAGGATGAGTTTCTTAAGACCAGACAGCTGGTAAGTGGGGGAGCCAGACGCCACCTTTGTCCTTTTCCCACTCTACACACTGTGCAGGCTACATCACCCTAACGCTGCCCCAGCCAGTGCTAACCCCAGACAGGCAAGTGCTCTGCACCTGACTAAGCACTGTGCCCAGTGTTCTTTCATTTGTTCCTCACAGGACCTCTGGGGAGGATGACAGACGAGGAAACGGGTCTTTGAAGGATGTCTTGTCTGAGTTACACAGTTGCAAGTGGTGGAAGCTGGGCCAGGGCTGTTATTGTTGTTAGGGGCTGCTGAGTCGATTCCAACTCAGAGCAACCCCATATGACAGAGTAGAACTGCTCTATAGGGTTTTCTAGGCTATCATCTTTATGGGAGCTGGTCACTAGGTCTTTTCTCCTGCAGGGCGGCTGGTGGGTTTGAACCACATACCTTTCGGTTAGCAGCCAAGCACTTAATCATTGCACCACCAGGGCTGTTGGCCTGGCCTACTAATTCCAATCCATGCCCATGGCTCTATATAGTAGGTTCCTTCTCAAGCGAGAGGGAAGGGAGAGAGCACACATCGGCCTTAGAAACTTTCCACCCCTAAGGATGAAGGACCACCCTACGTCACTCTTGACTTATCCTGGGGTCCCACGGATCCAAGGGCCAGTGCCCAGAGCCTCCCACACAGGTCACCTCTGGGAAGCTTGGGAACATAATCCAGCAGCCTTTGATCCCTGGATTACTCACTACCATTACTCTGAACTGGAATCCCTCCTGCTCCCCATTATCATCCATAAACTTGGTGAGTGTGCTCTGTGCTCCACCCAAGCTTCAGATCTGTCAGGATATGGGCTTACACACTGCTTCCCCCCACCCACTTCCTTGAGGTTGGTAGGATTTATGCTTGTGCAAAAACTTGCCCTCTATGTTCAAGGTGGATGCAAAATGACTCTGGCCCCAGGAGAAGAGAGATGACCTTTTGACCTACTGTTTCAAGTATGTTAATCCCCTCATTTTACAGTAAGAAAACTAAGGCCCAGAGAACTGAAGGAACAGATCTCTGGGCTTCCAGCCCCACACTGGCCATTTCTCCCTTCACAAATGCTCAATAATGCTAGCCAGTGGCCATGCAAAAACCCGACCTGGCTCATAATGTGCTAATTTGTGTAAGATGTTTAACCAATTGTTTGCTGCCTCTTGTGTATTCACTTGGTTATTATCTGTCCTATATGTAATCCAAGGGCTGCCCAAGGACGTTCCATTGAAGCTGGGGAAATCCTAGCTTCCGGATTTGGGCTGCGGAAATTTCTGTGTCCCGAATAGTTCAGAAATAGGATGTGGTCATCAAGAAGACGAGATGGGCAACCCAGTTCCCGGCACCAAGGCTCCCCAGCCGCCCCGACCCCCAGCCCTACCTGGCTCGCTACTTGCAGGTATGCACATCGTAGATGCGGATGCACTCCTGGCAACTGACGTAGCAACACCAGTGGAAGATGCAGTGACATTTCTCCTTCCGCTTCTCCGTCCTCGTGTTGTGGCCACGGCCACAGCAGAGCAGGTCGCAGCCATCAATGCCGTGGGAGGTGACATTGCAAGTCCGGTCCCTGGTGCCAAAGGAGCCTGTCTCGGGGTTGGGCTCACAAAAGTTGGGGGAGTTCTCATAGTAGACCAGGTCCCTCTCGGTGGGCGGCTTGAAGAGCGCGTACTTGGCCCGCAGGGTCTCCACCCAGCCTCGGGACTCGCGGTGCTTCTCCACCACCATTTCGGAGGCGCTGTCGTATTTGTCCTTGAGGAAGTCGCCGATGGCCCGGAAGTCGGGCTGGGCCCACCAGCAGGTCTTCACCTCACAGCTGCCCGACAGCCCGTGGCACTTGCACTTGAGGTGCATGTGGTCCAGGATGGTCTGGGGAAGAGGAGTAGCCGCTGGCCCCTAGACTGACCCCACCTCGGAGCACCCTACGACCCTGCGGCTCGGGCCCCCACCCCATCCCTCGAGCCTTCTCCACTGGGACTCTGTGCCTGAAAAGAACTGATGGGGACTGACTGAGGCACCGACCTGCAGAATGGTGACCATGTTTCCCTCCCCATCACACACCCGGCACTGACAGACATCACGTCCATATTTCTCAGAGCCGTAGGAAGGAAGGATTGGGGAAACTGAGACCGAGAGCTTAAGTGACCCGCCCACGGTCACGCAACCACAGGAAGGGGTGGAGCCTCAATGCAAAGCCCGGCCCCGTGTCGCAGGAGGGGCTGGCCGGGCACCTGCTCCTTCGGGCGGGCACACTCCCGGGCTGAGGCGTCCCCGGCCGATACCAGGAACGGCCCAGAGAGGAAAGGGAGAAGGGATGACTGTGGGACAGGGTAGGCGGCAGGCCTGGTCAAGGGGCAAGAGGCGAGCAGGGAGCTCAGGATGCACAGGGTCGCCGGAAGGGGCCGAGCGGGGTGGACGAGGCCTACCCCCGGAGGGGCCGGGGCACGGGAGGGTCGGGGAGGGCCGGGGTGAGGGCGGCCGGGCTCACCGTGCGGCCCGCCTCGTTGTTGTGCTTGTTCATCGCCGAGCGCGCGTCTGGCCTGTTCTCTCGCGCGTCCGCGAACTCCCGAGACACCAGCACCCCGAAGTCAGCGTCCTCGCTGCAGCCGCCCCACTTCCAGCCCTCGCCGGGCGGCCCTTTATGGTGCGAATCGCAGCCGCAGATGGTGGAGGTGCCCTCGGCGCAGGAGCGCGTGACTGCAAAGGCCACCCCGGCCGAGGCGATGGCGTGCACGAAGGCCGACTCGCGGGTGGCTGCGGAGAGGACAAAAGGGAGCGCTCAGGCCTGGACCCGGCATGCGCCTGCCCTGCAGCGACCTCCCCAGCCCAAAGGTGGAGGCAAGGAAGAGCTGAAGGGCTCAGCTGCCCCAGGGAAGAGGAGGAACCAGGTGCCCTCCCCACCCTTGCAGGCTGATTCAATGTCGCTGGGTATTCCCCCTTTATGGAGGAGAAAACTGAGGCCCAAGTACAGAGCAGTGTTAGAAATATTCACTGCGGGTTTTGGAAGAGAGAAGACAGCCATGCTCTGTACTGGCTCCAGCCCACCCCACCTACCCTTCCCAAACTCCAGGAAAGACCCCAGGGGCGGCCTGAGCCCTCCCACTCCTGAGAGACCCACATCGAGATGCCCTTGGGCTGACCTTTTTTTCCTCTGGGCCTCAGTCTTTGTAAAATGGGTATGACTTCTCCCTGCCACCAGCGTGGGAGGCAGAGTTCCTGACCAAGAGGGCAGTGACCAAGATCGCTCTCCCCCTCCCAACTCCCAGGCAAGGCCAGGGTTTTGGACTGAGAAGGCCAAGCCCCTCCCAGGAGTATCCTGATGCTGTTCCCGCGGGTCCGCCCCAGGCCAGGATCCAGATAGGGACATAGGAGAGAGTCTCAGGGGTGCCCCCAGCCTCCTAATGTAATTACAAACACCTTTGTGTGCTCCAGACGCTATGCCTCTTGTGCTTTATCTCATTTAATCCTCTTAACCTGTGAAGCATATATTTTTATTGTAGGCCCATTAGATTAGAGAGGCAAAGTTGAGAGACCAGCGGTCCACCATCTCCCTTTACAGGCGAGGAGCCGACCTGCCCAAGGCCACGCAGGCTGTAGGGCCTGGCCTCCTTTCCTGGGCTGTGGCTCCCGCCTGAATGCCAAGGGAGGCTGAAGCTCCGCAGACAAGCAGGAGCTGGTAACCTCTCGTAGCCATTGCTGCCCCTTTGGAGGCCATAGTGCTCTCGTGGGCCACCTGCAGAGGAGGGGTCCCTTCCATCTCCACGAACAGACGGGAGGAGCGTGCGGTGCGGGACCTGCAGGCGCACTGGCGCCTGCACCGCAATGGAGGGACAGCGGGGAGGGGCGGCTAAGGCCCGGAGCCCTGCGCCGGGGCTGGTATCCCGCCCGGGGTTCCCTGCTGCTCTTCTCGCCCCCATTCCAGCTCCCTCCCACTTTCGGGACAGGGGGCGCCGAGGGCGAGTTCGCAGGGCCGGGC